TTTGAGACGGAGTCTGGCTCTGTCGCCCAGGCTGGAGTGCAGTGGCCGGATCTCAGCTCACTGCAAGCTCCGCCTCCCAGGTTCACACCATTCTCCTGTCTCAGCCTCCCGAGTAGCTGGGACTACAGGTGCCTGCCACCTCGCCCGGCTAGTTTTTTGTTTTTTGTTTTAGTAGAGACGGGATTTCACTGTGTTACCCAGGATGGTCTCGATCTCCTGACCTCGTGATCCACCCGTCTCGGCCTCCCAAAGTGCTGGGATTACAGGCTTGAGCCACTGCGCCCGGCCCAACTTACCTTTCTTACTCCCCTACCCTTCGGTTCTACTTTCCCTCCCCTCCATTGAAGAAAGGCACAAAGTCAGGAGTTGATGCTGCATCTTTTTTTTTTTTTTTTTAGTTTTGCTTTCTTAAAGCATGTGCTGAGCTGATGAAGAGAGCAGTTTGGCAATTAAAAAGGCCCAGCAGCTTGGGCAGCAGCAGGGGGGTGCCAGGTGAGGGTCGGGGTGCCCCTCTTTCCTGGGCCAGGGAGCAGCAAAGCCCGCACTAACTTCATAAAATATAAAACAAGGGAGGGATGAAGGGAAGAGGGAGATTTGTAAAATACAATATCTTAGGGGACTGGCAATAATAAAAAATAAGGTTCATTATTTACAAACAATTTCTGTTCTTGGTCTCTGTACAGTGGGGGTGGGGTGAGGGGTGTTAGTGAGTGGGATGAGTTGATGTGTCTGTTTGGGTGCAGGTGTGGGGACAGGGAGGCAGTGGTCGTGTTGGGCATATGAGAGAGGAGGCGGGGTACCCAGTGAGTGGTTTGTCTAAGAAGGACGGATGGATGGCGGTGGGAAGGAGAATGAGAACAGAGTGGTTGGCCCAAGGGAAGAGTCCAGATGTCAGGGGCAAAGAAAGGCTGGGAAGTAGACCCTTTTCTCCTGGAACGGGAAGCTCCAGGAGGCAGGGGCACGAGGCGGATATGGTTAGTGAGCAAGAACTCCTCTTCTGCGTGCCGGGGGTGCGTCCTGTGTCCTGGGTCTTGGCATGGCCTAAGAGAGTTTGATGGTGGTGTTGGGACCCAGATCCCTGGAGAGAGAAGAGAGACCAGGGATGACTCTGTCCAGCAGGAAGCCTTTTACCCTCTGCAAGCTGGATCTAGACCCAGCAGGGATGGGGCCTTGGGAGGGTGTGGCCAATGTGGGGGCCAAGGGTAGGCAGGAGGCAGGTGGACCCTGCCTCAGGAGGGAAAGGGGCCCCCCACCCACCTGTCGTGGAACCACTCCTTGGAGTGGGAGAAGTCGGGACTGGTGCCGTTTCCACCGTCTTTAGGCCAGGCCTCACTCAGGTACTTGGTGGTCTCGTGGCTGTTGTCCAGGTGGTCATGCTGCAGGTGGTCCTGGGGCCGCTGCTCTGCCGGCCCCCCGGGGTTGATTTCCCAGCCATCTGGGGGCTCCATGGGCAGCAGGGCGCTGCGGCCATCTTCCCATGAGCCTGCCCCGTCATCGTAGAATAGGAGGCTTCGAGAGGGCACTGGAGAGGGAGTGTAGGATGAGCGGCGTGCCCAAGACTCCCTCCACATCCTGGCCACGTTTATGGCCTAGTGGTTAAGGACACAGGCCCTGGATCTGAGTCCCAGCTCTGACACTTTCTGGATATGTGACCTCAGGTAAGTCACATGCTTTACTTTAACCTTTCTGAGCCTCAGTGTGCTCATCTGTAAAATAGGGATACTAGGACCAACCTCATGTAAATGAGAGGTTTAAATGAGGTAATAGAGGGGAAGTGATTGAAACTGTGTTCAGGAAATACTCAGAAAAGTCAGTTCTTCCTAAGCAGAGGGTACTGAGTTTGGGCATCTGGGAGCT